GGCAGGAGTTACTGGGATTTGTAGTTTTTAATGGCCGAAGCGTCAGAGGATGGTTGTGCTTCTGATCAGTGAGTACTATAGGTTTGATATAGGAGGGGGATGTTAAGGGAGGAGCTGACACATCTACAGTCGACTGACAATCATGAATGTTTCATCTTGTGTTTATTCTTTTATTTCACTTTTGTTGGTTGGGTTGGTATATCAGCTTCTCTTGTCTTTGAACAGTATATAGTAGAATACACAAAAAATACACAAGAAAGTTATTGTATTTTGAGACTAAGCAAATAGTTTTATGAACAACTGAATCTAATTGTCTGAATGTTCATGACAACAGTATGGTACATACTACACTTTTACACTCAGTTCAGTTTGGCTGCATAGATCTTGCAGATCTTGGAAATTATTGAAAATAATAAACAAATAAATAAACAAATAATAATAATAATAATAATAATAATAATAATAATAATAATAATAATAATAATAATAATAATAATAATAATAATTTGCAGAAATTAGAAAATTGACAAATTTGTGAGAACATAATCACTAAGCTGCAAAAGTAAATAGTGTAAAAGTAACTTGTAGTATGATCTTTCAAAACTGGACCTGCTCATGTAGAACGTACGCTTCCTCTCTCATCCGTTCACTTGTGTGTGAGATTGTTCATAGACAATGCAAACATCTTGTATGATCTGTGATGAAATCAAAAGTATCACTGAGCAGTGGCCTGCTGCACACTGTCCAGCACACTGTTAGATGTGATAATATGTCTGCATGTTCTGCACAACAGAACTTTAGGCTTTAGGTTTTATTTCTGTTAAACTGTGTGTATGTGTCTGTGTGTATGTGTCTATGTGTATGTGTCTGTGTGTAGGCGTCTATGTGTAGGTGACTGTGTATATGTGTCTGTGTGTATGTGTCTGTGTGTAGATGACTGTGTGTAGGTGTCTGTGTGTATGTGTCTGTGTGTAGATGACTGTGTGTAGGTGTCTGTGTGTATGTGTCTGTGTGTAGATGACTGTGTGTAGGTGTCTGTGTGTATGTGTCTGTGTGTAGATGACTGTGTGTAGGTGTCTGTGTGTATGTGTCTGTGTGTAGATGACTGTGTGTATGTGTCTATGTGTATGTGTCTGTGTGTAGGCGTCTATGTGTATGTGTCTGTGTGTATGTGTCTGTGTGTAGATGACTGTATAGGTGTCTGTGTGTATGTGTCTGTGTGTAGATGACTGTGTGTATGTGTCTATGTGTATGTGTCTGTGTGTAGGCGTCTATGTGTAGGTGACTGTGTATATGTGTCTGTGTGTATGTGTCTGTGTGTAGATGACTGTGTGTAGGTGTCTGTGTGTATGTGTCTGTGTGTAGATGACTGTGTGTAGGTCTGTGTGTATGTGTCTGTGATGTGTCTAGATGACTGTGTGTAGTGTCTGTGTGTATGTGTCTGTGTGTAGATGACTGTGTGTAGTGTCTGTGTGTAGGTGTCTGTGTGTAGGTGACTGTGTGTAGGTGTCTGTGTGTATGTGTCTGTGTGTATGTGTCTGTGTGTAGGTGTGTATGTGTGTGTGTGTATGTGTATCTGTGTGTATGTGTCTGTGTGTATGTGTCTGTGTGTAGATGACTGTATAGGTGTTGTGTCTGTGTGTATGTGTCTGTGTGTAGATGACTGTGTGTAGGTGTCTGTGTGTAGGCGTCTATGTGTATGTGTCTGTGTGTATGTGTCTGTGTGTAGATGACTGTATAGGTGTCTGTGTGTATGTGTCTGTGTGTAGATGACTGTGTAGGTGTCTGTGTGTATGTGTCTGTGTGTAGGTGACTGTGTGTAGGTGACTGTGTGTATGTGTCTATGTGTATGTGTCTGTGTGTAGGCGTCTATGTGTATGTGTCTGTGTGTATGTGTCTGTGTGTATGTGTCTGTGTGTAGATGACTGTATAGGTGTCTGTGTGTATGTGTCTGTGTGTAGATGACTGTGTAGGTGTCTGTGTGTATGTGTCTGTGTGTAGATGACTGTGTGTATGTGTCTGTGTGTATGTGTCTGTGTGTAGATGACTGTGTGTATGTGTCTGTCTGTATGTGTCTGTGTGTATGTGTCTGTGTGTAGATGACTGTGTGTATGTGTCTGTGTGTATGTGTCTGTGTGTATGTGTCTGTGTGTAGATGACTGTGTGTATGTGTTTGTGTGTATGTGTTTGTGTGTATGTGTTTGTGTGTATGTGTCTGTGTGTAGGTGTCTGTGTGTAGATGACTGTGTGTATGTGTCTGTGTGTATGTGTCTGTGTGTAGATGACTGTGTGTATGTGTCTGTGTGTATGTGTCTGTGTGTAGATGACTGTGTGTATGTGTCTGTGTGTAGGTGTCCTCGTCCTCTCGTACATGTTGAACCTTGTCTTCGTTTGTGTTTCCAGAGGGATCCAGCAGCAGTTGTCGAGTTATCGGGAGAGTGTGATCCGCCAGGCCTCGGCTGCCGCCTCGGGTCACCGTGACGACGCTCCCACCTGCGGAATCTGCCACAAGACCAAGTTTGCCAATGGCTGCGGAAACCTCTGCTCCTACTGCCACACCAAGTTCTGTGCCCGCTGTGGAGGGAGGGTCTCTCTGCGCTCCAACACGGTCAGTCCTGCAGACACAATTTAGACCGGTTTAGATCAGGTTTAGACTGGTTTTAGACCAGGTTTAGACCAGGATTAGACCAGGATTAGACCAGGTTTAAACCAGGTTTAGACCAGGTTTAGACCAGGTTTTGACCATGTTTAGACCATTTTTACACCAGGTTTAGACCAAATTTAGACCTGTTTAAGACCAGGTTTAGACCAGGTTTAGACCAGGTTTGACCATTTTTATTAGACCAGTTTTAGACCAGGTTTAGACTAGGTTTAGACTAGGTTTAGACCAGGTTTAGACCAGGTTTGGACCTATTTTAGACAAGTTTTAAACCAGGTTCTGTCCTGGTTCAATCTTGTCCTAGCCTTGATTCACTGTAGTCCCGGTCTAGTGCTGATCTAGTCCTGGTGTAGTCCCGGTCTAGTGTTGATTTAGTCCTGGTGTAGTCCTGATCCAGTTCTGGTGTAGTCCTGATGTAGTCCTGGTCCAGTCCTGGTGTAGTCCTGATGTAATCCTGGTCCAGTTCTAGTTTGTGTCATATTGAAATGTTATTCTGTGCTGCTGAACAGGTAAAGGTTAATTGGGCATTAGTGCTGAGTGCAGACTAGGGGGTCTAAAGTGCGGCTCGAGGGCCTCGGGGGTCCGGAGGTGAACTATACAGGACCGCAGGGGGTAACTTAGCTCCCTCTTCTCCTCCTCACACCCTCACCCCTCTTTCTCTCTCTCTCTGCCCATCTTTCCTTTAACATTCTTTCTGTTTCTCCTTCCCTCTCTTTTTCAATCTCCCTCTCTCCCTCCTTCCACCTCTCTCTCCCCTTCCTCCCTCTCTCCCCTTTCTCTTTCTTTTGATCTCCCTCACTCTCTTTCCATCTCTCTCTTCCAACTTCCATCTTCTCTCTCCTCAAAGGGCCGTATCACTCTATTTCTGATGTACTTTCCTCATCAAATAGACCTGGAGTTCTGTTTTATTCACAAATGTTTAAGTAATCCTGCATATTTAAGCTTCTTCTCTCAAACATATATCACTCTGTTCCACCTTGTGATGTCATGTGGTCATACAGGAAGTGCTCCACTGTGTTTTTAAACTCCATACACCTTCACTAGAATCCAGTGTTGGAGTAACGTGTTATAAAAGTAATGAATTCCTGTAATGTGTTGTTTTTTGCTCTAATACAGTAATGTTCAGCATTACAGGGAAAAAAGTGGTAAAATTTTACTCAATACAAATGTGAGTAACGCGTGTTACAATACTTTTTTAATCTGGACTGAAGTGGTGGGTTTTTCATTTTTCTTCATAGAAATTTGCTAAAATCACTGCAATATCAGCAGAAGTGAAACACTGGAAGTGCGCCCACGTAGACCGTGATCGCGAGTGAAAGGACTGACACAGAACTCCACGCTCCACAGAGCTAAATGCAGCTGACGCCCGATCACGTTTGAAGGTTCTCTCAGGGGAGGTCCTAGATTCCAAGTTCTAGTCCAAGATTAGTCCTGGTTTGGTCCTGGTTTAGTCTTGGTTTAGACCTATTTCAGTCCTGGTTCAGGTCTGGTTTAATCCTAGTTTAGTCCTGGTTTTGTCCTGGTTCAGTCCTGGTTCAGTTCTGGTTTAGTTCTGGTTCAGTACATATACGGCGCAAAAGTTCAACATCTTTGCAGTTATTTTGGTGAGAGTAACTTAAAAGTAATGCAATAGTAATGTAATGCCTTACATTTTAAATACAGTAATATTGTAACGTAACAAATTACTTTGAGATGACAGTAACAAGTCATAAATAACACATTACTGTTTTAAAGTAACTTGCCCAACAGTGCTAGAATCATTTGGATCATTTCAGCTAAAGGTAAAACTAGCTACTAACTTGAAAACTTCCACTTCATGACATCACAAGGTAGAGCATTTAGAGTTTTGAAGATGCACACTAATAATAAAGAGTTACTCAAACATGTGTGAATGAAACAAAACTGAACTCCAGGTCTGTTTTTGACGAAGGAACACGATTAGAACATGTCTTAAAGCTCACAACAAGAGTCAGTTTTGTGTAATATTGGACATTTAAGTTGTTCTCTTCTCTTCCCTGTCTCTCTCTCTCCATCTCTCCTCTTTTCCATCACTCCCTCTAGTTTTCTCCTCTCTTTCGCTTTGCTCACTCTCATGTTAACCATAAAACAAATATGCCAAACAATTAATGACAAGGTTCAGCATTTGAGGATCAGAAGTTTGAAGATTTCTTTAAAACAGTGAATCTCTATAAACCCCTGCTCCATCTGAAATGATGATATCAAAATATAAATAGTAAGATATAGAAAGTGAAATGTGTTTTAAATAACTATTGAATTGAATATTGGTCCTAAACGTGTCTCTCTCTGTCCACATGCTTCACATCTGCAGGAGGACAAAGTGGTGAGTTCTGTACGTTTGTTTTTTATAGTGCATCTTTTAATGGCTTTGCAAAGTTTTGAAATGAATTTGAACTACGTCAATTTGCTGAACAGTCTTGTGTAATGTGGACATACGGAAGTGATACTGTGCACTGCACACAGAAAACAGGAAGACACTGTAGCAAATGTTGTACTCAAGTGTACTCCCACTACTACTACTAGTATAATAGTACTCAAGTAGAAGTACAAAGCAGTGGCCCAAAGAATGACTCAAGTAAGAGTAACTCAAAGAAAAACTGTTTTGATTTATAATTTGAAGTGAATATGATGGGAAGATTTGAATATTAAATAATCCAACAAAATTAGATTTAAAGAACAAACTTACAGTGGGAACAGGAAGCTCAACTTTTACTCAAGTAAGACTACTGATACACTGTACTATATATTACTCAAGTAAGAGTACTGTTACACTTTACTATATGTTACTCAAGTAAGAGTACTGTTACACTGTACTGTACTCAATGTAGAGTAAGAGTACTGTTACACTGTAATAAATACTCAGTGAGGAGTAAGAGTACTGTTACACTGTAATAAATACTCAGTGAGGAGTAAGAGTACTGTTACACTGTAATAAATACTCAGTGAGGAGTAAGAGTACTGTTAATAAATACTCAGTGAGGAGTAAGTACTGTACTGTAATAAATACTCAGTGAGGAGTAAGAGTACTGTTACACTGTAATAAATACTCAGTGAGGAGTAAGAGTACTGTTACACTGTAATAAATACTCAGTGAGGAGTAAGAGTACTGTTAATACTCAGTGAGGAGTAAGAGTACTGTTACACTGTAATAAATACTCAGTGAGGAGTAAGAGTACTGTTACAGTACTCAGTGAGGAGTAAGAGTACTGTTACACTGTAATAAATACTCAGTGAGGAGTAAGAGTACTGTTACTGTAATAAATACTCAGTGAGGAGTGAGAGTACTGTTACACTGTAATAAATAAATGGGCGGCAGTAGTTCAGTTGGTAGAGCATTCGCCCACTGATCTGAAGGTTGGTGGTTTGAATCCAGTTCTCGACATAAACATCACAGGTTGAGTGGTCAGATCCACTGACCCACAGGTTGGTGATGTGATTCCAGCTCCCACAGATGAATGCTGTTGTTGTGTCCTTGGGCAAGACACTTAACCCACCTTGCTCACCGTGTCTGTGTACACTGGTGTGTGAATGTGTGTGTGAATGGGTGAGTGGTTCCTTGTTGTAAAGTGCTTTGAGTGCCTTGAAGGTGGAAAAGTTCTATAGAAAAATGTGACCATTTACCATTTACTAAATACTCAGTGAGGAGTAAGAGTACTGTTACTCTGTAATAAATACTCAGTGAGGAGTAATACTGTAAAAATACTCAGTGAGGAGTAAGAGTACTGTTACTCTGTAATAAATACTCAGTGAGGAGTAAGAGTACTGTTACTCTGTAATAAATACTCAGTGAGGAGTAAGAGTACTGTTACTCTGTAATAAATACTCAGTGAGGAGTAAGAGTACTGTTACTCTGTAATAAATACTCAGTGAGGAGTAAGAGTACTGTTACTCTGTAATAAATACTCAGTGAGGAGTAAGAGTACTGTTACACTGTAATAAATACTCAGTGAGGAGTAAGAGTACTGTTACTCTGTAATAAATACTCAGTGAGGAGTAAGAGTACTGTTACACTGTAATAAATACTCAGTGAGGAGTAAGAGTACTGTTACTCTGTAATAAATACTCAGTGAGGAGTAAGAGTACCGTTACTCTGTAATAAATACTCAGTGAGGAGTAAGAGTACCGTTACACTGTAATAAATACTCAGTGAGGAGTAAGAGTACCGTTACTCTGTAATAAATACTCAGTGAGGAGTAAGAGTACCGTTACACTGTAATAAATACTCAGTGAGGAGTAAGAGTACCGTTACACTGTAATAAATACTCAGTGAGGAGTAAGAGTACTGTTAGTACAGTTGAATCTCCTGTGCTCTGTGTTTTCCTGAGGCGTGGGCTCTGGTCTGTGCTTGTGGCGTGAGATGTGAGACGTGAGTTTGACAGCTGCTGGTTCAGATCCAAAAGTCGGATGCATTTGTCCTTGGAGAGTTTTTGTGTTTCATGAAATATTCATGTGCTCTTTGATTTTAAACATACAACAATCTCTATCTTCTATCTATAATGTAAAGAAAATGTTGGATAAGGTGAAGGAGCAGACAGGAGGGTGAAGTGTCTTGCCCAAGGACACTACAGCGGTGCAGTAGATTGAATGGAGTCGTGCATTTGTGGATTTTCCTTTTGGATATTTAGTTTGACAGCTCATTTAAAGCTCAAGTCTCTGATTTTCCAACTGGGAAAGGAGAAAGTGTGTTTTAAATGTAGATTGTAACCATGCGTGACTTTCATACATGTGCACAGCTTTAGAACAGAGTTTGACTGAACAGAAGAGTGGAGCGTCCTCACAGCCAACCCACTCATCAATAAACTTCATATAATGACTCTCCATGGCTCTTTCTTAAAAGTTTACTGCTGACAAAATGTTAGATGAAAATAGCAGGAAGATTAGATTCCACAAACTGACATTATCCAATTTTATTCAACTATTGTATTAAAGGTCATATATTAGTCAAAATGGACTCTTGTGAGTCTGTAGCAATGTTAATGTTATTCTATCCTCAAAAACAGACCTGGAGTTGTGTTTTGTTTCTTTCACACATGTTTAAGTAACTCTTTATTATTAGTTTGTCTACATCTTCAAAACTCAAAATGTTCTGTTCCACTTTGTGATGTCATGAAGTAGTAATATTTAAGTTTACAGCTCCTTTTACCTTTTTCAGTAAAGACAATTGACAGTTCCAGGAGTGGAATTACCCAAATGATTTTACTGAAGGTTTATGGAGTTTAAAAACAGAGTGGAGAACTTCGTGTATTAGCACATGACATCACAAGGTGGAACAGACTGTTTTCTGTTTGAGAAAAGAACTCAGTCTAAATGTGTAGGGTTTGTGTGTTAAACATGTGTGAATGAAACAAAAACACAACTCCAGGTGTGTTTGTGATGAAAAAAACTGCATTAAAACATAGTTCAGAAAATATAAGCCTTTAATTACTTTGATTACTGTACTGTGATTATTCCACTTTCGGGTCTAGTGCCCTTGTTGAAGCCTCTCAAAAGGACACACTGTAGTCATTATTCAGTCACTCTGTGGTGGTACACACTATGAAGCCACAGCTGCCCTGGGGCAAACTTATTTAAGTGAGGCTGCCAACCACCATCATTTACTCACACACACTCACCGCTTTCATAGGTCAGAGAAGGTCTAGCACAATGACACAACTTGGTCTGAGCGGGAATTGTTCCTCCAGTTTTGTGTCGTGGTGGACTCTCACCCACATTTCAAACAGGAAGTGAGCGTGGGTGCACTTCTGGCTCCATGGACTCTGCGTCTCTAGCTCCAATTTACTTTACTTTGAAAATTGCCTGGCGTCTCTCTGTAGCTGCTGATGTGAGCCTCGTCATTTTGGTCTTAAAATGTTCACATTAACCTGCTCTACATTAACCTGCTGATACACAACAAAAACTGGAGGGTTCCAATTTCAAGGCAAAATATTTCAGAGTCATTTTAAACACAAAAAGTGTTATTTTAACTCTTTGAAAGTTAAATGGGGGTTGGAGTTGGGGTTATTTGCCAGAGTTGCTATGGTTGAAGACAATTTAACTTTCCCTAGTGTTAATTCAATTTCCCCTAGTGTTAATTCACCTTCCCTCTGTGTTAATTTAGCACCTCCACCCTCCACTTCAAACTCCCGTGAGAGAAGACCAGTTTGAACCAGTTTTGTACATAATTTTTCTTAAATTAACTCAAATAAATTGCAAAAATAAAACATATCTGTGTGTTGTTTAGGTAAATCAAGATAACCCTACAAAGTGTTATTCGTTTACTCTCAAAACATTAATATAACTTTTGATTTGGGGGTTAAACAGGAACTTTGGTCCTGTGTTACTTAATGAACATTTCCAAAAATGTAAAATTAACTCTAGAACAGATTAGAAACATATAAACCCTGAGAAAATGTTCAAATTGATTCTGATTGATTCTTTAACTCCACTTTTTGTTGTGTTTTTTGTTGTGCCTCTGCTTTCTGCTTCTTCTGTCCTTCTGGTTGATACTGTACCCTGTCCTCCCGGCTGATACGCTCTTCCCTGCTCCTCTATGCTTCTCTTTCCCCTGTCCTCCCGGCCGATACGTTCTTCCTCTGTATTGATTGGGGGAGTTTCTTTTGTGGCCATAGCGATGTGTCATGTGTTCTCATGATTATTATCGACCCCGTCCGCAGCTCCGACTCGGCTCTCATCGACTCGCTCTGAAAAATCACTCTCTCAAAATGTAAAAATACGACTGAGCGCGGTCACCAAAGTCTGTGCACATGGGCAAAAAGACTGAACACTTTACGACGGGATTATGGTATGTTTGGGAAAAGTGGCTGTCTGTATGATTTGGGTAAAATATCTGACAGACATTGTGATTAGGATCAAATATGAGATGTATGTTTTAATAATAAGATTCTGTGCAAAGTTCATGTTTTAAACACACTCAGAAGTATTGACAAAAAGAGTGGAACATGAAGTGACGAATACTAATAAGAATCCCATTTCAGAATCTGTTTGTACAGATCTAAACTACAGGGTTAGCAGTTTTAATGCAGAATAAAATGGGAGATTTTGTTGTTTGTGGAGGAAATTATGGCTACGTTCAGACTGCAGGGCTTAATGCTCAATTCGGATTTTTTTTGTGAAATCCGATGTTTTTGCGACGTTGTTCACATTTCCAATTAAATGCGACTTGTATGTGACTCCAGTGTGAACATTAAACAGCTCAAAAGTGTCCCACATGTGAACTGGAGACACGATGATGTCAACCACAACGAGCGTGCTCTGTGTTTAAGGAAGTTGTTCAAACATGGACGCGAGCATTGAGCACCTGGAGATTTTAAAGTTCCTCTTACT